AGGACGATGGCTGCTGTTGCTGATGATTATTACTACTGAAACGAAATATATATATATGTATGGAATTTAAACCTGAAACAGGAAAGAGGTAAATACTTACCCTTCATAGATATCTTCAGGGGCCGATGAAGTTTTGATTTGAAGGCTCACTGTGTGACCAGGCGGTAGTGATTCGCCATTATCTATGAAAAAATGATAAAAAATATTGAGAAAAGAAACGATTCCACAGAAAGTGAAGAAAAGTATGCTGAAGCCAGAATTATGAGAAATTCAAACGCAACCAGTATACCTTGCCACCCACATTGCAGGATGTTCACAAATGAACATTGGTATCGTGACCTATGACTATGCAGAGGATTCGTAAAGATTAATTTCTGCTTGGGTAAATCGTCAATGTCATGCTAAATAACAAAAATAAATAGTAACACAACAAAACTCTGCCAACCTCATGCGCAATCTTAGATAGAGACTAGATGAATCACGAAGTGACGACAAGTGGCATATAAACGGAGCGTTATTCAAGCACAGCAAATGGATAAGTAAAAATGAAAGGGCGAGAAGTCTGTAAATGTATAGGAGATGGAAATAAGAAACAAAAACCGAAAGATTATAAAGAGTTCGCGCAGATGGCCTTTACCACTAAGCTCTCTTAGTCCTACCACGAAGGATACCGGTCGATGAGTTAATAGCCTGTCTAGTCCCAATGATCACGCTGAATTCCCAGTGGGGCTTCTCCATTGGTTCGCTCAACTAGGTGTAGGGTGTGCTTCAATTTGGTTCATCAAGATTGCCAGCCTACATCTAGCAGTTTAGGGCCCTATACAAATCTCAAAATGAGAGATACCACCACCACCAACACCAACACTGGCTTATTCAAATCCTTCTCATGAAATCATTGACTCTCTTTAACTACAAAAATTACATTTTTTCCATATAAAAATAAACCCCCCCCCCCCACCCTCTTTCGAGCTTCTTCTTTGCACCCAAATAGCAGCCTCCTGCTTTTTCATTTTGTCGACTGGTAAAAATGCGTAGTAATAAGGAAATATCAACTGTTCTCATTTTAAAAATACTGATGGATATTTACTTACGTAAAAGTTAAATTTGCCATTCTAGTAATGTTACAGGTTAGAATTCTTAATACAAACTTGGTGGCATTAGCTTAGACATATTCTCTTGACTCCTCGCTATTATCTAGGCTACCTTCGACCACCAATATCGAGACCTTAATGCAAGATAAATGTATTGGGGGGAGGGGGGGAGCACTTTCATTAAGAACGGATCCGGTGATGTTTCTCTGAGCTCCTGGGTAATCTTGTATGACTATTACTAACATATACCTACTGTAACAACTGTAAGAAACTTACCTTCCAGTGCAATAGACATCTTTTTAGCACAAAATGCATCGGAGTGCATAGATGAGAGAGATACAGATCGACGGAGATCGCTACCACTAGTAGGAAAGCGTCCTTTAATCAGATCGTATATTGACGCAGAGGAGGCGGATTGATGAAATCTGAAGAAAGGAAGAAAAAAGGCATAAATTCGTAATGAACTCGCGGAAGAATACACGGGAAAGCACCTCTCACCCCTCGGTAATAGACTCCGATTGTAATTCCAGACTCAATGTACGATCTGAAGGAATCGGTGTCGCTGAATAAAGGAGGAATGAGATTGTATATTTAAAATTAAAAATTTATGAAAGTAAATAAGGATTGGTGATAATGAAGCTACGGGCTTTTGAAATTTTGGCAACGGTTGGACGGGATATTCTTGAGGACCTAGTGGAAATTTCACTCTCCTCGGTTCGAATCCTACCGATCTCGGGTCTAGGAAGAAGTTCATGCCGAATAGGAGAGGAATAGGCCTACAATAAATTTAGCAAGCGATGTAAAAATAAGACTCACGCAAGTTGCGATATTAGGTTCCTGCCACTGTGGTATCTGCACGTCCAAATTGCTTTAGATTACTATTACTTTCTCAGCAGAAAGAAGTTTATCATGAACATAAGAACAGGAGTCAGAGGAGGGTATTAAGTAAAAAGAATGAGAAAATGTTTAGAGTATCTTAAGTGTCTCTTTTAAGTTGAGCCGTCAATGTATAAGGAGTTGTTTCAGTCCCTTGTGCACTCATTTAAAACGCGTATTCAATTAGCAATTTCTTGATTAAAATTAAGAAAGATTTTACGAAAACCCGTCTAAAAGATCTGATTTAATGTTTTTGGCAGCTTTGAAATAGGAAGAACGCTATCAATAAAAAATTACTCCCAGCTTAAACCTGCTCGTCTATCAAAACTGATATTAAAACTTAAATGATCGACCGAAAACCACTTTTGGCTCATTTTTTATCCATCAACAGGCACGTCTTCACTCCTCCCTTCGAAAACAGATAGTAACCGTCTTTTAATTACTTAATTGCATAATAACACTATCTACAAATCCCAAAGTGTCATCCCACCCTTGGTAAGACTCCTAAGTCCTTTTTCCTCTAGCATACATCTACTCGACTCGTCTAGATGGTGAACCTCAACGGTAGAACCCACAAAGACCTGAGCTCAGGTGCTATTTAAATCATAAATTCTTCAATTGATCGCTACTCATTATCCATTGAGAATTCGAAAAATATCGCATTATAAAGAAACATTGAACAAAATACTCCATAGAGTAGGCAAAAACGCGGAAAGGTGGATAAGAACTGAGGCACTTACATGGTCTAGGGAATTTAGGTCTGGAGGAAAGGCGGGTAAACAGAGGTATGGTACTTGTGGCAGCAGCTTGTTCTTGTTCGAAATCCTAACTCCTTTATTTCGACTGGTAGATGAGAAAGGCGGTGGGACTGGATGAGATGTAGAAGGGATCGGGACTACCTCATCTCCGCCGTTGCCATTACTACAACGACACGGAGAGCCGCGAGACGCTAAGTAAACCGCATTTCGACGTCTAGATGGAAATCTAGAGAGATAGGATTACATGCGCTGAATCATAGTCGCTGTCTAAGTATACATAGGATGCTCCATCAGTACGCTAGAAGTACATTCGGCTACCCTCCAGGGAAGTGATTGAATCAAAACTTCAGAGAACATGCCATCTTCCGAACTCAATCACGAGTTTTAAAAATTTAAAGTAAAGGCTAATTCCGTGTAATATTTACTCAAGCACAAGTTCACAACCTATTTTTTACATAGACCGATTCTGTAAGGGATATAACGGTTACCGACAAAACCTGCCTGTTATTTTCATGTTTAAGAAATTCAGGTAACATTTATGGTCTTATTATTGAGAAAATAAAAGCTTCAATCTCTGGAATTGATAAAAGTTGGTATCCTATCCAGAATTTGAATTTTCCCTTTGCTTATGAGTTTACGTGGTACAGAGAGACAGAATAGTCCGTCTTTGGTATCCTATTTAAATAGAGATCCCCAGGCACTTACCAACAATAGAAGTGAGAAATAAATTACAAATAATTATTAACTACTTTCAGTTAAAGAAATAATTTATTTTGTGTAATGAAATAGAGATTGAATCTAAAATTTATAACCAATATGATTAACGAAATGCTGTATGTAGTTCAAACTGAAATGGGATGTTTCGCCACAACAATCCGAACATGGTAAAACAACCTCCTAACTTAAGGTCCAATGGGTCTAATGATTTAGCGCCCTGGAACAGTGAGTTCATAGCAAATAGTTCAATATTGGGGACATTCTAGATACAGTAGAAAGCAAAGAATATTGTGCCTCAACAATGTAGTCATTGCCATCCAAACTTTCTTGGCTTATAAAAGTGCCAAAATATTTAAAAGGGCTAGCGAATTTCTTCGCATGTATGGACTGATTCACAATAGGCTGAAGATACTTATAGATTAAATATACCAGAGAAAGAAGAGCAGACAGACCTTCTACCAGCAGGTGAGGAGGCATGTTTACGCAGGCGAACTGTTCCAAAATTGACTTTAGACGCTGCCGAGACGTCAGCGTTAGAGGGTAGAGAAAGTAACGAAGGAAGGGGATGAATCTCTTCAACACCTGAACTGCTGCAAATACTTCTTAGTTCGCTATAGTTAGGAAGAGGTACTTGTTCGGTGACCTTAGACGACTCGACAGACGGCTCTGAAAACAAGACAGATAATAATAAAAGTAAATAGCTAGGGTACGACAATTCAAAGATGTGCATTCGTGCCACTTTCTATTCATACCACAATCTGACAAGAACATTCAACTCCTTAAATGAAATTAGATTAACTAAGTGTTCAATTAATAGTCTCATTATTTCACAATGTTACTGATTAGGGCTTCCATAAAACATATTGCCAATTATCCGGTTAGTTAAAAGGACAAAAATTTTCTAGGAAAAAGAAACTCTGAGACAGGATGGCTGAAGGTCCACAGTATTAAACTATTAACTTTAAAACCTAAGGTGATGAAACGCGAATGAGAAATCGCTGGAGGAATGGTCAAGGTCCCATCCACTTAGCTTACAGGAACCTCTGACTTACACTATTACACTTTCGTTCGGATCGAGTTTTTTTGTCTTGAAAGGCTACCACCATGAACTCTAATTTAAACATTTATCATACACTGTTAAGAGGTCCTAGTAAATGAAACCATCAATCTTCATAGTTCCATTTTACTGATTTTTAAGAGCAAACTTTCAATACAAACTGTGTGAAATATGAAGTGTTAAAACGTTTTAGCTCTTGACGCCTTGGACATAAGAAAATGTACATATGAGGTGATTATCAAACTACTTAAATTAATTAAATAGCGAGTGAGCTCTGGATTTCTTCAAAACAAATTTACTCGAAAAACAAGAGGAAAGTGCTGAAGATTGAAAATTTCAAAATCGGAAAATGAAACAGTAGGTTATCGACACAAATCGAACCAAGTTCCAACCTTGAATCATTCTTTATTTACCCTATCATATATTCTAATTTCCATTTCTCTGATTTGAAGTTACTACTTTACCATTTTCACTATTCAGAGGCTTTCCAATGGCAAAAAGAGCGCCGAATTGATCGGCAAATTTTAAGCTATTTTAAAAAGTCTATTACAAATTTCTTATGAAAATATAAATCACTGCTTCCAAATACAAATAAGACAATACTTTGATGCATTTCCCGCTTCTTCTGTCACCCTTCTCCCGCTTAGTAGTTCAGTAGATTCCCCCATAACCAACTTATGCGAGTTTTAACTGTAGCATTGGGGCAATAATAACAACCAATGAACATGCACAGATCGAAGATTATGGTATGTGACCTCTGGTATGCATACATAAAAAGACTTATAAAGGGAAAATTTGCACGCAGTCATACCGTTGGGCTCAGCATCGCTAAGATTTGGTGAAGACTTTAAAATGTCCACTTCATAAGAACTACTGTTCTTGAATGACGAGACGGAGGAGCGATGTCGAGATTGTGTGCGCAAAAGTGTCCGACTTCGACGAGAATGCGGCTGAAGAGAAGCATGTCGAAGCAAACGCCACTAAAACAAGTCAAATAAAACCTAAGATCTTTCTGTTAGATGGCTTTTGTTAACAAGAACGCAAAGCTGACAAATTTGTGCAATGTTTGCAGAAAGGAGAGTAATACTCCCTTACTATGCCGTGATTACTTTTTCTCAGACTCAACAAGGATTTCCAATACCCACTTGTGGGTTATTCAGTTCCACAAGACACAAAAGACAACCCCGTTTAAAGCACGCATATTCAAAAGATCGGCCAATGTTTTAGAGTCGAAAACAAAGAAATTAACTCGAATTACACATATGAAATGTCCTTAGAGCACCCTCAAACCATTTTAGCTTTGGTACAGTAGGGCTCCAATTTGCCTAAGTAAGATTGTGCGACATCTTTACTAAAGCCTCATACCAATTTAGAAATATTACAACGAAAAAAACAACATTACCTTTATTTAGAGAGTAAAGAATATCCAGAAACTGATTTTAAGCAACCCGTAGACCAATTTTAGCTCAACAAAAGTCGGTTGTGCATTGGACAATAATAGTGTCTGGATTTTGCAAAGACAGAATCGCTGTGCATAATACCTGCTAATCCCTTACTCAAAAGAGCCGAACTTAGACTTATTCAATCGCACAGAGAAGATGAAAAGACGCTGACGAGACAATGGCTCATTGAGTAACATACTCAGACTTTCAAAATAAAACATTGATACACATTTGTGGGAGGACAAAATATCTAAATCTCCTAATAAATAGCACAACGGGTTTCACAAATAAATAGACTTCATAAACCGCATTATATTTTAACGGCTTTCACCGGAAGCATATCTTAGGTAGCTTATATAAATCAACAAACCTATAAATATAAACATGGATGTGACGCCACCAACAATTCCAAAAAAATTGTAGACTAATGAATGCAATCTTCTGTATTCATTGAACTTGAAATATCTTGCAAATTTCCGATTGCAATTCTATGTCCTCGGCTTCAAAAACTGAGACCTTCAAGTTCCAGAAAGTGGCGTATAGAAAGCCGTACGTATCCAAATATCTTGATAAAGTTCATTACACAAAAGTAATTACATTATGTGATCGACGGTTTCGTCGAATTCGAATAGTATTCCGATGGTGGTTGGAAGGCGGTAGGGGGAAAACACTCAGACGACTAGAAGTACTCCGACTTCGAAGAGCATTAACATCTGATGTGATATGATGCACATATCGCCGAAAATGATTAAGTATGAGACGGTTATGAGGAACCTCCGCCGTTTCCCAAGTTGAACACACAATCCTCGGTACTGATAAAGGCAAAATATTAGGAAATTAGCAATCCCTTTTAGTGCTAAAGATGAAAATTGACTAACGAAAACTAGTCGTAGAGGCTGATAATGACATTGGTGAAAATGGAACAGAATTATTACAAACGGCTACTTGGAGATTTGATTCTTGGCTTAGGGGTGGCGTATTTTGCAAATTTACAGGCTTGATTTCCGCTATAGACAAATTAGGGTGCCCACTTCGGCTGAAAGACGGTCCAGCTGAAGGTGTGAGATCTGCGTAAAAAGTATTAAATGAGAAACAATAATATATAATAAACCAGCAAGATAGAGTCCGGCCAAACCAATTCGCCGACACTGTTCTTCGATATCTTCAGTGGATGGGCATGTTCGATCCATAGGTAATTCACGTGAAATTTCCAGGGAAGCCTGTTTAGCAGCCCCTAGTGTATTCATTAAATGACTAATAAGTTTGTAGGAGAAACAAAAACGTACTTTCCAACACTTGTGAGAGATATTGGTTCATATTTATCAAACTCTTTATGAAGCCGGTGAGTAAAATAAAGAATACATAGGATAATAAATGTAATTGAGCAAATGTACGATATCCAAGCCATCACAGACAACGGGACAAACTTTAATATTTAGGTAAAACCAAATGCCTACCACCGAAATCCCCACCGGTAGAGCGAAAAACAATAACCAAAGTATGATATGAACTATCCAGATTAAATGCCCTTGAGATGGGTCTACGTAAAATCCTCCACTAAGAGATGCGATAATGCCTTCCTTAAAAATTCGTCCAACCATGCACATATTATGCAATTAATCTTGAAATAAGATGTTATGAACACCAAAGAAAGCTCAAAAATAATAAAAAGAAACAATTCATCAGAATAAGAACTTGAAGCCGAGACGAGGTACTATTATTAAACTTGGTTAGTTAAAACAAAATATTAAATATCAGCTAATATGGTCAGAAATATCGTTTATTATTTAGTGAGACACTATAACGTTTAATGACATATGTTCGTTGATCTACTTTGACATATTTATCAATTATTAATATAATTAAAAAATCATCAATATTATACTGCATTCTTGCACAAATATATTAAAATTCGAAAGTTGATTAATTAACCTAATCCAACAGGAATTTGGCTCTTTTTTCGACTCATTGAAAGTCCCATTCATTTATTTATAGCTAATGTCAGGTTTTATGGTGGTTATAATTGGTCCTTCAAATGGACCTCGGACTTCACACAGGGGAGGAACATCAAGGTCGCAATAAGTCGGGAGGGGAATCAGAAGAGTGATTTACAGATACAAAAAGCATAGACACAAAGGTAGGTAAAAGGTAAGGTGATTACTAATAAAATGGTCAAATATGACGCACAGACGTTTCATGGAGGTTTATAGATTTTGCCGCATGAGTGTACATTGCTTAGAGGGCACCACGTATAGGTAATATGCGCGGTTTACTTAAATGTTAAAAATGAATTACCTGTGTGGCTTTCAAACAATTACTTTTAATAAATGCACATTCGTTCTCGCCGGTTGGTGAATCATTTTTCATTTCAGGTTTCATTATGATGTACATACTCTACGTTATTACAACGTGGGCAGCAAGTCACGCCCGTTTGAAGAAATCAAAAACACAAATATATTGTCGCTGTGCCAATTACTTGAACGATTTCAAAAATAAACTCCTTTGCAAACGCGCTATGTCCTGCAGAGAGGATGTTTTAGTTGAATACGAAAAGGGATCCTCAGTTAAAACCTCCTGGTGGACAAGATTCAGAAGACTTTTTCGAATCCGAAGAGCCGTTATTGACATTATAAACGTCGAAGATTCCAAAAGTAGATCAAATAGGTCAATCGAAAAAAGGAAGAAATGGATTTTACTGTTCAATACCTCATTAAGCTAGGTATTGGTTTTATGACTGACTTTACAGTTGGCTGAACTAATGCAGAGCCAATTGCAATTTAGTTCAAAATTTGATTGTTTCTAAGCAAGAATATTTAGAAGGCAATTTTAATTTGATAGAGAACTGCGCCCATTATTTGCAAAGTCAAATTTATAAACCATTGTTATTTTTATTTTATTTAAAATTTTACAATAGAAAGGGAGTAATACTAGAAGAAGATGAGTATGTTTGTGAACAACTAGGATTTAAGTCAGAGAAAAGTTATATATATCCAAGAGTTAAAAAAATATGCGCATAGAGTTTTTGATTGTGTGGATAAATAATGATCGGTGAAACACCAAAATTATGCAGCTCAGTTTTGTTTGAGATGTATAATTTTGTGTGTGAATCATTCAAATAACTTGAGCATTTTAACTCCATCCAATTTAATTTACTATTTGAACTCTAACAATATTTTCCAATTGGCAATATTATTTTGCATTCAATGCTATAATTCAGCAACCTTATCATTTTTAGTCATTAAAGTTCTATAAAGTTAGCAATCTAACTATTTTAAGTTCTTACCAATTTTTGCTGCCTCCTACTAATTAAAACATTAAGTACATATTTTGAGAATTACCTCAATGATTACTTCATATTGAAGCTCATTTTAATTTGATGCCATACTCCCTAATCAATGCAGGATCAGTTTCAGTTGGAAGTACATAATTAGTTTGCTCATTTTGGAGATACCTTACTTTCAATAAGGCGAATTATAACTTTATACCCTAAGGTGCTAATTTTTGAAATTGGCAATATGCAGTTTGTTGCTCAAATGTGTTCTTGTTACAGATAATCTTTTTTATTTAACTTCATTTACAACTCTTGGACGCTCACACGAATTTCGTCTGTTTAGCACTTTGGTTCAGCATTTTTTGCTTTCCTGTTATTGAGATACTAGTAATATTGCAAATTGACCTTGCAGTTTGAAACTGGGCCATTGCTATCCTGAGTATTTCTGTAATTTTCTACTCTGCTCTATTCCTCAATCATATGAGATTCAGTATCAATGTGAACGATATCTAGCCAGTGGATGATGTGAAAAAATTGTTAAATACCGTTTGCAATTTCGTGTGTAATATCACGCATGAAATTTGAATTGCATACATGATGACTAAACATATTTAATATGGCCAAGGGGGGAATTAGGCGAAATTTTTGTTTTAAACATTAACAACAGTTTAAGAGAAATTATGTAATTATCAAACTAATCTTCAAAGATAGTCAAGTACATGAGCTTGGAAGTGTTTAGATTTAGATAAATTTTTAGTTAGATTAACTTTCGGCCAGACGACATGTCAGTTAGCTCAAAAAGGTAACCTATATTACCAAGATAAAATAATCATACTAAAATGCATGTTAATTTATTTCACTTTGTAATTTGCATAGAAGATAAAAATTTAACTGATTTAAATGGGCAACTATTTACTCATCATTGGAAATGGAGAATATGATCTAACTCCTTGACCCAATTTGGCCATTTTCCCGTTAACTCATTTGTTCAAATGTCGGAACACGATTCTAACGTGCCGGAGCCAACGGTAAAGGATTTAGGCCAAGATTCTGGTTCTGAAGTCATTCAAACTGAAAGTTACTGCCTGAATTGTCACGAAAATGTAGGAATTATTTATATTTTGTTCATATTTACTTCTTAATCTTAATACTACACGAAGTTTAACTTTAGTCTCTATTTATTATTTTTTTGTTTCCGATTGTGTAGGGAATGACCCGTCTTCTTGTTACTCGCATTCCGTTTTTTCGTGAAGTTGTAATATCTTCATTTGAGTGTGGGAACTGTGGCTTTAAGAATAACTCGGTAGATCCTGCAGCTCCTATTCAAGACATGGGCAAAATATTCACAATCGATGTACGTTGTCCCAAAGATCTTAATCGTCGTGTTATTCAACCATGTTTTGCTGAAATTCGCATTCCGTCTCTCGACTCCTCTTTTCCCAGCCGCGAATCTGGTTGGTGTTTTAATCTATCCATTTAATCGCTATTTTGTCATTGTTTCTGTTTTCTAGTGCTCACGACAATTGAGGGAATCATAACTGGCATAATTGAAAAGCTTGAAATACTTCAATCACAAAGACGGGTTAGTTACTTATCAGTTTTTGCCTTTTAGAGATGCTTTTTAACCTGTCCTTTTCCATTATTAGATTGCTGATCCTAAACAAGCTGAAGCGATAGACGTATTTATTGGAAAGCTTCGTGATCTCCTTACGCTTCAGACACCATTTACATTGGTAATTTCATTTTACCTTTCAGGCTTGCTTGCCGAACTATTTGTGTATTCAATTGTCTTTCTCTTTTTAGGAGATGGATGATCCATCTGGAAATGGGTTTATTGAGAATCTGCACGTTCCTCTTGATGACCCACAAATTAAGTGTATCAGTTACAAGCGTACGCCCGAGCAGAATAAACTTCTAGGTTACCAAGACAGCGATGATATCAGTGCTATAGATTCCGATGACGAGGTTCGAACATTTATCTAATTTTAGTAATTTTTTATTCCTTTTACATTTTTTTCTTTCATTTCAGCCCGAAGATTTAAAGAACTCTGTCTCTACTTTTCACTCTAATTGTCCAAATTGCCATTCTAGTTGCCCCACCAACATGAAAGTTATTGGTATGTTCGCGTTTTATATGCTCTGATTATTAATGTACTTTGATTACCCGTGTTAGTCACAATTTTTTTTAGGAGGGGGCATATAAATGCGTGAACTTGAAGTAAGCATAAATATAATTAGCAGTCTCTGTTAAAAGCGGTGTTTATTGATCAGTCGAGTGTCCACTAAGGCCAATGCCAGTAGTGTGGTACCATTTGAAGTGGTAAAGTGACCTTAAGAGATTAATTCTTAAAATTTTTTCTTTTATTTAGGTGATTTTGTAAAATTTATTTATTTAGAAATGGATTAGTTTATCGCAACCTAATTAATATTTTCTTGCAAATGTAGCCGGTTCATACTCAGTTTAATACCCAATAAAGTATTTATTCTCACATAATTTCATTTTTCATTATAATTCGTGCATTTTTTTAAATTGGTTTTTAGATATTCCCCACTTCCAGGAGGTTGTTTTGATGTCAATTAACTGTTCTCTATGTGGTTATCGTAATAACGAAGTGAAGTCAGTGGCAGGGATAGCAGATTATGGAAAACGTTTCACCCTCCTCATTGCTGACATTGAGGACATGTCCCGCGATATTCTCAAATCCGACACTGCTCGAGTTGCCATTCCCGAATTAGAGCTTGACACTGCTACTGGTACTCTGGGAGGTCGATTCACCACTGTCGAAGGCCTTTTGGTTCTTATCAAGGATCAGGTACACTTCCCTTTTTAAAATTCTTAATTATAGTCAAAATGGTTATCATCAATCAGTATGATGCTAAGGAAGAGAAGTTTTATTAGGTATTTATTAAATGACATCTTATTAACATGGAAAATCATAAAATTCTTTAAGCGTGATTAAGATAAATGAATTGGAAAGTAAGCTGCCATCTTTCAAGTAGTTCAAGCCTCTCATTTCTCCACTTATGCTTCCGTAATAAAGTGGATTTTGCTTGCTTAGTTTAGTTCCTATTGCTTGATGACTTGTGATTAGTTTTTTTCCCTAAGGGAGATCGAACCTTGAGCAAATATTCAAAAAAATGGATTTTGAAATTATCCTTTAGAAATAGGTTAGATGTTTGCTTTACAGATATTTAATAGGTAAGAGTAAATGGTATTTCCTTAGAGGTTAATATCAGCATGTCAGTATTTTAAGCAATGTTTAGTTTTTATTATTTTAAAGTGGAATGTGCAACTTAAACGGCTCTAGTAAGAACAGTGAAGAGGCCAATCTAGTAGTAACTTACAGAAAGTCTATATTACGTTTTACACTCGAGGAATTTAGGAGGATTATCACATCTCTGTTAGTTAAATGGTTTAATTATATTTTGAATGTTCCGATTATCAGACCCCTAAATCACTTTCACCAAGTGTCTGACTTAGGCGTTTTAATTACTGTTTCCTACTTATCTTTTTGAATTTATTTAAGAAGCCCCTTTAGGTATCCTATTGCTGACTACCAATGATGAGGGCTTCGCCTTTGATATGATCATTTATTTGCATATTGTATAGTTTATATATTGGAGAATCGCAGCTTCATTTTGCTCAGAACGTAGATTGTAAAAGTTATTTCCTATTATCCCGCATGAACAAAACTCTTCTATTACCTAATGAATTGGCAGCTGAAGCACTTCTACTAATGATCTTGTATTAATAGCATGATTTCAGCATCTGTAAGAGGCTACTGGTTTGTTAATTTTGTTCTATCTTCTTATTTGTTCTCTTACTCCTATATATTGTGTCCTTTTTCTTGCCACAGCTGAAGTCAATGAATCCTCTGATGTTTGGTGACAGTGCTTCTCGAGAAGAAAAAATGGGTTATCTTAACACCACCTGCGACAAAATTGATGAGGTAATTTTTTTTCGTAGTGCTTACAGTAAAAGTTTTTCCAAGTGGCGGTATTCGAAAGTCTGTCTTAGAGCATTTCATTCTTTTGATGCGTAGGAATGGTAATAATTTTTTAAAAAACAGGCGAAAGAGTAACGCCAAAGTAGACCATAAATGGGGTTTAAGGTGTTTAGAAGAAATCTAATCTATTTCATATCTGCGTCCAGTAAAAAGCAGCACATGTTTCGTTCACTGAATGCCTAGATTTCTTAATTAAACTTCGGAGGTTATTTGTATCAAGCATTCTGATTTAATCCGAGGTAATAAGGATAATGAATAGGGCTCTCGGTCACTTTTAGCCAAACCAGCACATAGGCTTTAAGCTATAAGAGCTCACTGGCTTTTATTTAAGGCGAAGAATGTCAGCGTCACGTTCTTAAGCCGTCTACATTGTGATGTCAATAGGAAACATTGTAAACGAAGCCTTATGTGTTACAGGTTATGTTAAAAAAGTAGATATATCCTTTCATTTTTCCAGATGACAAAATCGCACCATTAGCCCTCTGTCCTTGTTCTTTATTTCAGGTTCTTGCTTTGTCCCGGAAGGATGTTCATCTCGTGTTGGATGACCCAACAGGAAATAGTTATCTTCAGGTTAGCAATTTGCCTTATTTCTTGTGTGTGTGTGTGTGTGCTCGAGCTCGATGATATTCCACCATAGCTAGAGGCTATTGCATAGTCTACAGGTTGAGGATTGTGTCCACAACATTTAATGCCTACTGACTGGTTTCTTTCTTCTAATTGTCCATTTTATCACTTCATTTTTTTCTTTTCAACTTTGAGACGACAAAATTAACGTATGCCATATTGTGTAGCCTACATGAGTCTAGTCTAGTAGAGCTGAGATAGTCTTATATTCCTTGCATAAATTCCTATAATAGCAGGTTTGAAAAGTTTTTCCTTTATGATGAACACTAATATTTGATAAGGTAATTTTATTTTAGTAACTTTTTTTTCAGAGTCTCGATCCTGAAGGCGTGGACGAGCGTTTGGTAGTTGAGGAGTATACGCGAACAAGAGAACAAGATGAAGAATTGGGAATGTTAGATATGAACACGGAAAATTACACTTCATAGTGTTGCTCCTTCAATCTGTAATTGCCAGATTTATTTAATAAGTGGATTTTCAGTCCTCTTTAAGTCTTTTTCTCCATCTTACACGTGTGTGAATTTATTTGAATGATTGACTATAGATGCTTTGTCATAAATAAAACATCGCATATAAGTATATTTCATATTAAATCCATGAATAAAATCCCTAATAAACATTGTTTGTGGTTTAAAAAGAGCTGGCTAAATTTGAGGAAGTGGGAAATTCTCTGTTCTTGTACGTAAGCCGAATTGAATACTACCTCTGCGCTCGAACGAGACGCTTTATGCTGTGTCAGTAGGAGCAGCATTCAAATAATCTGATTTTCTGCCTGGTGTGGCAGTGGCTAATTCACATATTTGTGTTGGACAATTTCGAACGCGAACATTTCACTTCGATCGTCTACCTGTATCTACCCGCCAAACCGTCAAGTCAAGCGATCTACCAAAGGATGTGCCTGATGAGACATTTGTCGCACGACACCCATTGCGTGGATATCGATGATGATTGTTCTGAGGTGTTAAAAAGTGCCTGATAGATCAGCTTGTTGGCTCAGGAAAGCGATGCAATCGAATTTAGTGGCAATTCCAGATCATGTAAGAAAATTAGAACGGACGAATTCCACTTAAATATCTTCCTTTTTTCTATACTATTCTTGATGATATGAGAATTCCCTTTTGACTTTCGAATATTTATTTAGGCCTGGATGCTATGTAGATTCTCGTATGTAGTTCTTCGCTGTGTCTGTTGAAAGTTATATTTTTTCTTTCAGCAGCGCCTTTAATCTCTCCATTTCCCCTTTCTAGACTTGCTTTTCGGAGCAGGGACGACTTGGGATATCTAGATAGAGATAAGTTATGTTTTTGACATAATTCTAGGGACTTTTGGTCTTCACAATTAGAGATTGCATTTATGATAAAGTTAATGCGTTGACGCAATATAGAAGTCGTCAGGATGATATAAATTACTCAAATATTTCAGTAGAAAGCAAAGCGAGATCTACCAATTTACTAGTAGTATTTAATAAAATAGGCCTTTACGAACATTTTTGTCACCTTATTTCAGATTATTTGATTTGCACATAAGTTCGTCTAAAGTAATTATCCTCCCTCAGTATAACAGCAGTATCTGCAAAAAGTGTTTACTATTAGATACGACTATAATAAAAACGTCTGCTTGGTTTGGAAGGAGGAAAATGGAAAAGTAGGTTAGGTGAGTATTCATTAATGACATTTTGGTGGAGTAGGAGAATTATAAGGATAGTTTGTTCAGTCTGCGGTACACAAAGCCAATAAAATCAAAGCAAACAATTAGGGAAATAAGCATTTAACAAATAGCAAAGGTCGTTAAGCATATATTTTGAACAATCACGGTGTCAAATAATCCTATTATTTTAAGGTGCTTTAGTGAAAGAAAAATCCTGGATAGATGTAGCGGTCCCGTGTCGGCTTGCAAGTAGACTTGGAATAGCACTGGCTTGTTCGATTTCTGGTCTTGCTTCCGGGTCAACAGGCGTGTAAAGTTCTTGACGCAATTCCAGAATATAGGAGTAGCTTATAACCATGAACCATATCTAAACCAAAGAAGTGATTAGCAATGCTTGATGACCTACAGCAAGAACGAAGCGTATTATGTAAAACATTATATTAACAATGAGATATGGTAGACGCTAAAACGTTTATTAGAATCGAAACATACCCAAGCCGCTAAACCGTACCAAGAATAAATGTAGGTGCTTACACCCAATTCGGTTAATGTATGCAGAACGATTACAATAAAGAAATTCAGGATAACAGGTTTCAAATTATATAGTTTCTAAAAAATATACTTACAGATATATTAATTTACATATCTAGAAGGCCAGGATATGGCCCCAACAAGACAAATAGTAAATCCAAGTAATAGACCATGAGCTATCAGCATTGCAATATCACATATAATAAAGCCTAGCTATAAAAAATTATTCAAGCAAACCTTTCCAAAATCGCATGCGCCAAGATCCTGGAAAACCACCGCTTATTTCAAAATTGGTATCTGCAATCTGCGCGATATCAATTATCACAAAAAGTATAGCGATTAGAGTGGTAACCTGAGAATAAAAAATAATATTTTTACAAACAATCGTTGTAGTTCCCGCAATGAAAGTCCCCATTCGATTGTCAATACAACAGCAACCACGTACTGGAACAATCGAAAGATCAACCTTTTTATGACGCGCATACCAATATGCCATTTTCCTATGTTATAATTACGGAAATCGCATTCAAATTAGTAGAAATAGACAAAACAATAAATTTGGAAAACTTAAACAACTGATTAGAACTAATGTTCTGAATAGTTTTCGATATAGAAGAGGGACAAAATATTTGAGCATAAATTTTATCTTTTTGAATGAATGATTCGGAAGGAAAAGAAACTTTTGGTTAGTAAATCCCCAAAATTATGCAGTTCAATATTGTTTGAGATGTATAATTTTGTGTGTGAATCATTCACATAACTTGAGGATTTAAACTTCATCCAATTTAATTTACTATTTAAAAACTATTTGAATTATCACAATATTTTCCAATTGGCAATATTATTTTGCGTTCAATGCTAAAATTCAGATACCTTGTCATTTTTGGTCATTAAAGTTCTTTAAAGTTAACAATCTAACTATTTTAAGTTCTTACTAATTTTTGTTGCCTCCTACTAATTAAAACATTAAGTACATATTTTGAGAATTACCTCAATGATTACTTCATATTGAAGCTCATTTTAATTTGATGCCATACTCCCTAATCAATGCAGGATCAGTTTCAGTTGGAAGTACATAATTAGTTTGCTCATTTTGGAGATACCTTACTTTCAATAAGGCGAATTATAACTTTATACCCTAAGGTGCTAATTTTTGAAATTGGCAATATGCAGTTTGTTGCTCAAATGTGTTCTTGTTACAGATAATCCTTTTTATTTAACTTCATTTACAACTCTTGGACGCTCACACGAATTTCGTCTGTTTAGCACTTTGGTTCAGCATTTTTTGCTTTCCTGTTATTGAGATACTAGTAATATTGCAAAGTGACCTTGCAGTTTGAAACTGGGCCATTGCTATCCTGAGTATTTCTGTAATTTTCTACTCTGCTCTATTCCTCAATCATATGAGATTCAGTATCAATGTGAACGATATCTAGCCAGTGGATGATGTGAAAAAATTGTTAAATACCGTTTGCAATTTCGTGTGTAATATCACGCATGAAATTTGAATTGCATACATGATGACTAAACATATTTAATATGGCCAAGGGGGGAATTAGGCGAAATTTTTGTTTTAAACATTGACAACAGTTTAAGAGAAAATAGGCAATTATCAAACTAATCTTCAAAGATAGTCAAGTACATGAGCTTGGAAGTATTTAGATTTAGATAAATTTTTAGTTAGATTAATTTTCGGCCAGACGACATGTCAATTAGATCAAAAAGGTAATCAATATTACCAAGATAAAATAATCATACTAGAATGCATGTTAATTTATTTCACTTCGTGATTTGCATAGAGGATAAAAATTTAACTGATTTAAATGGGCAACTATTTGCTCATCATTGGAAATGGAGAATATGATCTAACTCCTTGACCCAATTTGCCCATTTCATATCCTTGCTTTGCAATAGATCGGATTTACTGATATCTTCATAACTTTTCTAAATTTTACCAGACACACTTATTTTGCACATTTTTAATCTCAATCTTGGCTGTATGGTAGCATTATTTCATATTAGAATTTTGCTATTTATGAAAGCATTAATTCCAAGGTTCTCAGTTAGTCGAGCGTTTTGCACAATTTAAGATCAAAACCGGAATTTTGCACAAATTTTTTCCGAAATTTTATCTTAATCATTATCGCCCAAACCGCGTTGATTTAACGATACAAATCTTTCAAGTTCCTGTGAATTGCAACATTATTTGCATCGTTTGCTATGTACTGTGGCCTCATAACTGAAATGCAATCGATTTACAGAAAGCTTTATAAATGGCCTCAAAATCTCTGAAATCAACAAAGTTTCATTTTCAAAATTTAAAATCCATTTTTCTTCCATATTTCCTATCCTAAGTGATCAGATTTTAATCATGGTCTTCCTGAATATTAGTCCTAGCAACTTCTGCCTAAAAAATAATTGAATTGTCAATAAAATGGAGTGCCCTTTCCTTTCTTTTTCATCGACTGAACTGCACCACTCATTTCGTGTAGTACAATAATGCCGATTCGGATCTGGATCGTAGACACCGGCATAGTGACTAACAATAACTATATAGGTAAGTTCTTGAAACTCAACCGAATTATGGTGAGACAATAACTGCTTTGAAAAATTGATAATATGCCGGAATAGATATTACAACCTATCATAAGTGATAACGGAAATTCTACATTCTTTCACCTTTGTGCAGCTTAAAGTAGATACGGTGAAAACCTAGAACGACAGAATTATACTTCAAATCCATTACTATAACTCTACCTGGAAAAAAAATTTTATCCCCAGAAAATTTGTACTGATCTCCAAAAAAATACATTGTACAAAAGAATTATAGCGTTGCATGTTTACATATAAAGAGCCAAGTAAAAGACCGTCACAATAGAGTATTCATTTGCCCTCTCAGATATTGCTATAGAACTCTTGAATGAGAGTTCGTCGATGTTTCTCACAGATATTCATTTGATGCATCAGACCGGCAGTATTAGTGATTTCAGCCTTAGCGACGGACCAAGAAAGTGCCTCCACTTCAGCTTCAAGGAGACCCTGTTGGTACTCGAAGAGCGCGAAAGTATGTGAGGCGGGGTCTTCCTCAGAGAGGCGAAAGTAGGCGTAGGGATATGTGTACTTTAGGGTGTACCGACACTTACGCAGTGTCTCCCATGCACTCAACAGATGTTGCCAATCAATCCAGGTACCCTCATGAGCTTGTAGCTTCGATTGAATCAGATTCTGAATTTCCTTGTAATGCCTCTCCTCCAAGCGAAGACTTCTCTCATGATTCTCCCACTATAAATGAAAAAATATTTAGAAATTTACATACAAAAAAACCTTGTTAGAATGGCAAAGTACTAATAGGAACAGGGCCGAATGTAAGAAGAATCGACCACTCTCAAGAACTTATTGAACATAAGAATTACGAGTCAATTACGGAATTATGACAAGCATGGGTGAAGGAATATAAATACGAGTCAATAAGAAGGTAACGAACTAGTACGATGAGCATGTGGTAAATGGAGCATTAGACCCAATGAACTCATCATTTTGATCAATAGCGAGCATAGTGAAGTAAACGAGAGCATGAAAAATACCAAAATTGGACAAGCTTTGGATAATGGAAAATATGCGATTTATATAAGCAATAAAATACTGGTAGGATTATTGATAAAAATCATTTGCGTAAAATTTTGACCTCAACATGATAAACCTATTTATGCGTCTCAAATGGGCAAATTTCGTTGAGATGAAGATAGCGATGGCACCTGTTTCAAATAAAAGAGAAAAAATAATAACAGACTTCATATTGTGATCTCCAAGGAAGAGAACAAGTAGTTTTGGTGATGTAATAACCACGAAATAAAAAGTCATAGGAATGTTCTGGATGTCCTAAATTCAAATTCAAATTCCAGACCAGACCTTACGATTCAAATCACGATTAAAGATTCCATGGCATCATGAACAGCACTTTAATACAGGAAAATAACTATTCACTCAATTGGTGCGTACTGACCGACGAATGTATCCAATAGTCTGAGCCGCTTAATTTACCAAAATCCCAAATTATAAATACCATATCGGTAGACCCACATTTCACGATACTACAACATCTACTTCTCCATCCTCTGCACACTCGTTTTCTCTATCCTGCAATATGGAGATGTTAAAAAATTAAGATATACCATTAGATTAGCATCTGTAATGCTTTAGAAACTTAATTATCAAATGACCACTTTCAACACATCATGGTATATTATGGCCAAAACCAGCTAGTCTGAGCCTATCTATCTCATCAGTTAGCTTACAGTAGGCAAACACACGGCATCCATTTTCAGTCAATAAATATTGTGGAGTCCAATCATAAGATACACATAATGTGATGCGGAAAACAAATTTAAACTCACCCTTCCATAGTAGAACAGATACCTTTGAAGATATTCTCGAGCTCGTGTTCTATTTGTTTCAATCTCGGATACTTCTGCCCGCCGATACTTGCTACAATCGTAATATTCCACTGGATGATTCTTCCAAGCTATAAGTGGAAGGAATGGTGAAGTTCAACATAGTTTATGCTAACATCAATGAAAGCGGCAGTAGAATTACACTTACGACCAAGACAGACCCAACAAAATTCATGTCCGCACTTTGCACACCTCTACAGAAGAAAGAAAAATAGTACTTTAAAAAAATATGTTCACTTTACTTTAAACCATTTTCATGATGAATTGAGCAATGTACTAGTTGAAAGGGATAAAACATAAACAAGGTGAAAACCAGCAAACCACCACTGGCTACACAAAATAGTTCGAATACATTAATTAATCAATTAACAATAGGCGATTATGTATATTTGGCAGAGAGAATGACAGAATCCCAGAAATTTTATTCACGTACTACATACAAAATATATGTGGTCATCATAACCAATAATGACTTAACACCCTCCCGGACTAATTTTGATAAATTCCGAACGTAAATACATTGATTTCTAAGCTCAATTGACACTACACTCACTTAGATTCATGGTTACATGCATCTCAATGACTAAAGATAGCAAAATAATGCATAGACAATCAGTTTTACAAAAACAAGGCACTTTTTAAACCAAGCACATTCACTCATATCTCTGGGCTGTTTAAATATTTCCACGTCTTTCACGCGATATTGGAATGGCAACTTTTCTCGTTAAACCCAAGGAAGATCACTTTGATTTGTAAAAGGATATCGGACGGGCCCTTAAAGTGATTTTACTTAGGTGATCAGCCAAGTTGTGACTCCTTATGAAAATGAGCGGAAATGGGAATACGAACCCCTAACACCTCATATCTATCACTATTCGAACATGAGTGAATAGAAGGTAGAAAGCACGATTGAAGGCATGGGCCTACCATGTGATTACAGCCGCCATTTTTTTCAATGACAACGCCGCACTGAGGACAGTCCTTAGTATGAGCAGCCATGTAAGTGGCAGTAGAGGAATCGTCGCGACATTTCTGCAGCCAGGCCTTGATGGTCTCACATTGCGCAGGGGCATGGAATTCCACAGAGCAGGAGAAACAAAACTGGGAATTGCAGGAGTAACAAGTAACACGAAGGGGTTTCGCCTCTTCCAGTGCGTAGATTACGCGATCACAATGCGTGTCATTGCAATTTCGCAAACGAGGATGTGCCTAAAAATAAGCGCCAGTTACAAAGCAGTCATAAGACAATAGTGACTCAAATAACGAAATGAAGTAGTTTTTTGGAATCCAACATAAATAACAGGAAACACTGTGTATTGTATTGTATTTGTCTTAACAAAGACCTACAAACTGCCGATGAAAAAGTTGCTTAAAAGCCTAGTAATCACGCAATCATTTGAAATACTTTTAAGCAAAATAAAATTGACAAGACACATTTATATAAAAGGATCAGTGCGACAACGATCTCTAAGCAAATGCATCCACGATAGAATTTTTTCAGATGCCCTTTGTGCTTAAGCGCATTCAATGATTTAAAATGAGGCACTTCAAAAGATATACGACGAACATTTTTATTTGACGAGAGAACAATAACAACCAAGTAATTTACAGATGATTCAGGTTTTACTTACCTCAATACTTTCATTGAGAATGTGCCTACGGTGTTTTTCAACGGATTCAGGGTTATCAATCACAGACAGTATAAAATCATCGGGAATCCGAACAGAACAGTTTGCTGCCATACATTCCACTATGGAGGCTTGGGAACTGGAAATCCGATAATCAAAGTAGGCCCGCCAACACTCTAAACAGAATACGTGGCCACAGCTCATACCAAGGAGACGCAATGAAGTTAACGAGGGGTCATGGTTAACGCTGACGCCAACCAAAGAGCTTGGAGAAGAAAAGCATATGGAGCATACGTCCTGCTTCAAATCTCTATCTAAAAGAATTTGATAAGTCTGAATATAAAATTACCTTCTAGGTTAATATAAGAATTACAATTATGTTGAGCGCTTTGAGAAACACTTTTAATAAAATCCGAAAATTCAGCGCTATCAGAGTTGTACACTGGTCCGGATAGAGGTATGAGATTTGAATTAGTAAGAAGAGACATGGCGTTATTAAAATATGCGTCCTTCACCTCCTTCAAATTCCATTTGTATTGCCTTAAAAATAAACTCACCAACCACCAAGATATCTTAAAATCAATATAAAAGCACTAAGGTACCTTTAACTCTGATGACAGTGACTTAATATCCTCATTTAAGAGATGTTCAACATCATTCGTTTTCATTGTACGACACTTTAAATCTTCAGCAAATCCGTCATCTTTGGGCCTAATAACGATTAAAAACAAGTAAAAACTTACATCAGAGCGACCAATTCATTGTAATTGTCATCACAAAGACCATAATAGTCTTCACCTTCATCACCACTGTCGCCCATTCGTGAACATATAGATTAGTTAGCACCCTTTAAATTAATAGAACACAACGTTAAACTACTTGCCAAGCTATTATTATTACAAAAGAATTTTTAAATAAAAGTAATTAATTATTAAGTTAATCCTTAAACAAAACAAGATAATATGTGTAATTTATTAATATTTAATAATATTTTTAATATTTCCGTAATCTTTGGTAAAAGAAAAGATGCAAAAATTCTTGTAATTTAGTTAGATCTTCAGACAACAGGTTCTACCCGAGGTGATTCTATTTAAATAACTTGTTTCGGTCCTCACTTTACTAGTAGTTGGAATTAAAATGTCGTGGATTTGAGGGACGAGGAAGGTAGAACTCTGTATGTATTTGCTAAAAATAGAAGATAGATGTATGGATGGATATGTGGTATGTTTACGTAGGTAGAACCAAGCCATATTGGTTTACTTTAAAGGGAATGTTATCCAGCGTGAAATATTTTTATTTGATGAACTCAGCATATCTCAACTTATATAGAAGTCATGTCAGAATAGAAAACTTAGGTGACGAGATGTTCTAAATGTTCCTCTGTGAAGTATTAGAAAATTTTCCGAAAGGAAAAGATGCTCTAAATTCGGGTTACATTTCAAAGCTCTGATCTCTCACTTGAGTTTATTTCCACTTCTATTACATCATTTTCTGTTTGTCTCTTTCTATAAGACGAAGGCAAAGCAGTCTCATCCACTCCCAAACATTCTGGAGCGTGCGGCCGTGATCCTAATGGTATTATGGAACAAATGAGGTGATGAGTTTAGACACCTCTCGAAAAATTAATAATCGATAGTCATTATAAGGTCAGTGGATCCAAAACAGTATCTAATGACAAGGTATTGTGAAAATTTCCCATCTAGTGGAGACCCATCATGGATAAACTTGGTTCACGTCGTGCGTCTATTTCCTCCACATCGTGAGGCAGGTAGGCTAATTTCCGAGCCGTTCCATAGTGGGGGATTTCGCCATAGAGATTAGTGAGGATGAGTCCAACCTTATTCCTGTGGCAATCCTCTGCAGAGTCCTCCAAGTTGCAATTCCGCATTATCTCCATGGTAGGTCATGAAGTGGCGAACTCAATCGAAATTTGGCCTGTTATCTGCTAATTCACTTTCTCCAACATTGGGCATCCCAATCCAGTATCAATGGTTTGTTCAATCGACACCGATCAGTTTGAACTTAACTCGATGGCGTGTAGGCACTTTGATTATGCCAGTAAGTTTCCGGTCTGGTTTTTGAATGAAAATTTATTTATATCAAATGGGAGGCGTTTTGATAACTATCATTAGCTTTTTAGTTGACTTTGGGCTTCACAGAGGGGAAGGAACATCAAAGGGAAAAAAGTCGATAGGGAGGAACGGAAGAGTGGTTTAAAGATGTAAAAGAGACGGACACAAAGGTAGAGAAAAAGTGAGGTGAGTACTGTGGAGGTAGTCGAAAATGACATACAGTGCGGTGATGGTAGTTTGAAGTGAAAAGTCAACTGTCGGTTAATAGTCTTTTTGACGTATGAGCATACGTCGAATGAAAATTCTTCTCATCTTCCCTTCTCCCATGGGTTCTATTAAACGGATATCGGATTGGGCATTTCGCTCGCTTCTGAGCGAATTTCATGGGCTTTCGTTTAGATGGGATGTAAAACATCAGGATGATTGAAGGCCTTTCTCTCGCGGTCGCACTTATTGGACAACCACATTTTTTCAACGAAAATGATACAAATTTGAGCGATAGCCTATTCTTGCTTCCCTTTTCTCCATCCACTTGACTGTAGTCAAGGTCAAATCGCAATGGCCACCTCATATTATCGCTAATTGACCTATTAGTGGTACTAGGGTTTTCTTATAGTAATAACTGGCACGTTTGGTATAATTATGAATTTGCATCTTTTATCAGGATGACACAACCAGAATCATCAGTACCCGGAGTTTGTTATAAGCCTCTCTCCTAAAATGACTACATGAAAAGGCATCATTTGGAGAAATGCATTTGCTAACATATACTTGTGAGGTACAACTTTTATGGAGAGCAGTTTAAATTCAATGAACTATTATCCTCATAAGCGTTGTCTGCAAGTGTGTATCTTTCCGCCGATTGACAGTTATTGAATTGTGAGTGATGAACAGTACGCGGTTAGTAAATGAGCTGGACGTGGAGGCGACAGTGTGTAATCTAGCAATTCTGCAAATCGACAGATGTTTCGGGTTTGAAATGACAGCCAGATTGGCGAAACGGCAATTCTTAAGAAATCTATATCACAAGATTCGAACTACTTACCTTCTGCGCATTTGAAATAAATCTGCCCCCAATTTTATGCCTAGAAAGAGATATGGATGACATTAAACATCTCTCTCTCTCTCTCTCCCGCGGAACTTAACACAACTTCAACTTAGAAATATTGTTTCAGACAACATTTCATTGGCTTTACTAGTTATGTGGTTGGATTAATCGCTTCTGCTGATCTAAACACAAATTTTCCGCGTTCTGAAACGTTCTAAATTTCGATAGCAATGCATTTTAGTAAAAAATAAGCTTTCAGAAGTTTGTTCAACCGAGTGAGCAAAAAAAATTATTGGTTTGAAATAAGAGGCCAATCGTGCTGCCAAAGTATTAGGTTGGCAACGAAGTCATTGCCGATTTCAAATAAGAAGGCAAATTTGGAATTTTTGTTTAAAAATATAAATTTATTCAATTAGATATTGGCCGTTCTTGTCGATGACCTTTTTCCATCGTTCTGGCAGAGTAAAAATTCCCCGTTCGTAAAATGTCTGGTCTTTGCTATTAAAAAACTGAATTAGGTGTGATCCGACATCATCCGCGTTGTTAAAAATTTTACCATTTAAAGAGTTTTGCATGGAACGAAACAAATGGTAATCCGAAGGCGCAAGGTCAGGGCTATATATGGGGTGGGTGTGACAAAACATCCCAACCCAGTTCCAATAACTTTTGCCGAGTAACCAAAGATGTGTGTGGCCTTGCGTTATCATGATGGAAAACAACACCCTTCCGATTTGATAATGCCGGCCGCTTATCTTCATTTGCATCCTTCAGTTTTTCGAGTTCTTCAACATACACATTTGAATTTATCGTTTGGTTCTGCGGCATGAGTTCAAAATACAAAATTCCTTTGTGATCCCACCACACTGACAGCATAATCTTTATTTGGTGAATCTCTGCTGCTTTTGATACTGTTTGGGCTGGTTGATCTTGCTTCACCCATGATCTCTTGCGAGTCACATTGTTATAAACTATCCACTTTTCGTCGCCAGTAACTAGGTTCTTCAGAAATGGATCATTCTCATTGCGTTTCAGTAGCGGCGAATCACAGATGCTAATCCGTTGCGTCAAATGAATTTCCTTTAACTGGTGAGGGATCCATAAATCAAGTTTCTTGACATAACCAAGGGTTTTTGATTTTTTTTTTCAATGCATGCATGCGACACATTGAGCTTCTCTGCAATATCTCGTGTTGTGCTGTGACGATTTGAATCGATAATGGCCTTGATATGGGTTTCATCCACTTCGACTGGGCGGCCAGATCGTTGTGAATTTTTCAGCGAAAAATCACCGGAACGAAATCTTTCAAACCAATTTCGACACTGCCTTTCTTCCTCACGGCTTCATCTCCATATACGGCACATAACTTCTTTTGTGCTTGCGATGCGTTCTTGCCTTTTCGGAAGTAATACAATAAAATGTGTCGGAAGTGCACGTCCTGTTCTTTCATTTTTAAATTGGGATAAAAACAAAACTAAAGAACTAAACAAAAAAATTTTTTACTAATTAACCTAGAAGCCCATTCAGTAAGAAAAAATATATGTTAGATGCTCTGGCCACGTTAACAAAACAAAAGAAAGTATAGAGTGAATCCGTCAACAAAAACGGCAATGACTTAGTTGCCAACCCAATAGCACCGGATTAGCTAGTCGTTGTTTAATTTTCATATTCAAATTAACCCCTCAACAATGCGAGGCATAAAACTTCTCTTCAAGTGATGCGACGATGCCTCACACCTCACAAGTATATAAGAAGTAAAATAAGAGGTAGACTAGTAATTAATAAATAGCAAGAAACGTATCATCCTCTAAAAAGCGTCCCGACTAAGGAGTATTGGGCGAAATTGGTTGAGAAGGATTTTGATGATATTTCAGGTTGACCAGGTTAGTTTATAAAGGCCCGTTGGACAAGCCAACTTCAGATGAGCAAATGAATTATCAGGACATTTGATGTTTCGAATAGGGATTCCCTCAAACTTCTTCCTTTTCATCAACAAGTGCTTCGTAGTAGAAATGTGGGTTATAAGTGGTGATGTGGTTTCGAATCCATCAACTTCTCACTTTATTCTTGCAGGCCACATCGGCTGGACAAAGGAGTCTATCAGTTGACAGGCCACTGTTATGTCTGTTGTGGTTGATCCGCCAGTACCTCCTAATCGAGAATGCATTTGTAAATCTTCAAGGCACCTTGAAGCCATAAAGCTTACAAGTCTACTTCGGATAGATATTGCCAGGTGATTTGGAAGTGGATTGAAATAGAGCAGTAGGTAGCTGTAGTTCACTTAGTTCAAATATATTAACTTCTTGTACTGACTGGCGTGCAACTCCACCTCACCCATTTTATTCCGACTTCCAGAACGCCACCAACATTTGGTGTGTGCTGACTCGATTTAATTCACACTATTATCACTAAGACAATTCTCATTAAAAGCGCAATCGAGTGGGGTTATGGAGTGAAATTGGCGTTTTTCTCTTCATCTGCTATGCACGCCACATCGCTTTTTTCTCATCCACGACTCCGATCAGTTTGAGTTCAAAGAGACTGGAGACAAACTCCACGCAAAATGCGCGTAGATGGCTCGACTCCGCATCAGGCCACCGTTTAAGGCATTGTGTTTCAAATATTGATCTAATGGAGGAGACCCAAATTTCACCTATATTTTGGCAAAAATATGTTAGAGAATAATTTGTAGAAAGATCAGCTAATTTGAGTCGAAAGCGCTTGTCGTTAGGTACTGACTCATAAGAATTTAGCTATCAACAAAATTAGAAATCGTTAGCTCAAATAACCCATTAGTAATTAATGAGGATATACAAATATTATGCCAATAACCTCACATAACCTCCACAAGATGCCAATATCAAACAGTTCTAGAACCAAATATTAATGCGCCAATCAAACCCTTAATAACACGTGACTAAACTGCTTACAATCAATACATCAATCAATAATATGAAAGGTTGGATCATAAAGTCTTCTTCAAGTAATTGTAAAAGAACAAATGAAGAACATGTGAAATGATGATATGAAGTTGCAACTAAACTAGACTCTAACAGTACACACCAAAATGGTGATTCTAAGGGATTAGATAAGGTACCATTAGAACCAATTTCAAAGCATAAAAAATTTAACTACCAAATGTAACAACTTCTTTAAGTTGAAATAGTCAAAACCCAGAAACATCTCATCTGTATAAAAAATATATATACCAATAGAAATAATATTATAATTCACATAAATGAAAAATTGCTAAACCAGCAAAAGATGCAGCAAATATTTGCCAACCCAAATTCATCCATCCTCACGTACCTCAAGTGAGCACTACTCATAGCATGTACTGCACCACTTCCCACAAATCCATCCATGCCCATTCCAGCTCCAATTTCATTACCGCTTTGCTAAATTCTCCAATTCCCCCTCGTCATTTTAAGACCAAACTTGCCAGTCTTCTACACAGTAAGAAGTACCATCATAAAATTGCACATCCACGACTATATAGTCTACCACAATAATAGGATACAATGCAAAAGAAAAGTTTATTGAACTAAAAATAAGAAAATCAACTTCCAAAAAAGAGAATAGAAGAGGATAAAACGTTTGCTCAACCCCGGTATCTAACTGCATTCTAATAATTAATAATACTTCGGAAGGAAGCTTTTAAATGAGATAAATTAAGATGGTATAAACTGCTTAATAAAGGTAACAAATAATTACCAAACCCGCCCATTAAAATAGGCATGACTAGTAGCTAAAAAACTTATACCATTCTGACGGAGTTACTCTAGAATAAGGCTGTAAACATTTTATTCGAATCATTGAACTATCAGTTCAGGCACTACTTTAAGATTTTCGTTGGTAATGAATTTATTCAAAGATTTATTTCACACATGGTGTTTGCGTTATTGATATATTTCAGGCGTTTAAATCTTATTTCTTATTCTTTTTGTTCACATGGGTAGTGATTTATTTTACTCTGAAAAGTAGGCTTTATTTTGTACTCAATTTTAATTGGTGAAGCTTTTACAGGTTTCATTCAACCATGATATCAACTGTCATATTGAGCGGCCAATTTGTTAACATCAATAACAAAAGTTTACCAACCTTTTGTCCAACTTTATGTAAGTATATTGTTAGTGGGTTTTCTAATAGTAGTACTACCTTGATTGGTATATTATCCGTTCAAATCTGATTGGGACTTGTAATGTTAGGCTTAACGATTTTACGCCTATTTTATCTACAAAAGAGTGGTACAAATAGCCCCCTCTTTTCAAATTATTCTTTCTTTGACTTCATTCATATTTTAGAATAATGGATTTTAGGAGTTGCGCATTTTTTATTTCTAGTATTTCTGATAGTATTTCTATAGCAGTCCCGATGCATTACTTGGTATTGAAGCATGAATAAAGGCAGACCCAATGAGTGGTGCTTGAGTGGTACGTTGTAACCTTCTAAGATGGATGGATTAGCTTTAATGGTTTCATTTTTATTTTTTACGAGTACAAACTTTTAATAATTTCAGTAGCTGCATTGTATGTCGTCAATTAGTACTTTATTAATATTATTGTCATTGATACTGTTGTTTGGCTTGTTCGGGAGGTTGAAATCCTGAATGTCCACGTTTATTTGTATGGAAATATTTATGTTTTATTGAAGTCACTCTGATTACCTAGTGCAAGGTGCATATCCGTTAAGTGCTAACTGTTTTTTTGATTTTATTAAGATTCCGACTATGTATAATTGGTTTTTAAATTGTTAAATTGCATTTGGACCCTTTATTTTATTACTATTACCTTTTTACTTATTATGCAGCCTAAATGGGAGACATGATATTCATTGTACTAATAATTTTTTAGGTGTTGAAATATTTGTTGCAATAGTTATATAAATTCAAGTTGAAGAATGTTCAAGTACTGTAGATTTAATTTCAGCTTAATTTTAATTGTAATATTGTTAGGTTACTGCACACATTATTCTTGTATTAATATATTGAGTTATAATACTCAAGTATTTTATTTATAGGCTTAATTTTTAGTATACTATGTTTTACCATGTATCACTAATTTATTTTGGGAATTCTATGAGTTATCAATGCTTCCTTTATTATGTGCAATACTTTTTTAGTTCTCCTTCTTCTAAACGATTTTAGCTGGATGATACCTGTCTTGCTCCTTATTATTTACTTAGCTTAGCTCTTATTTTAATTCTTATCTATTTATCCTGCTTAAGGCCTCCTCGAGCTCCTTGGGTAAAATAATCTCAAACTAACTGTCCATGTCCGGTAAGTCTTGTCACAATTATTGTTATTATTGGGGTCTCACGCCAATAAGTAATGTAGTTTTTTTAAAAAAGTTGTTTTTTTAAATAAATCTATTTTCCTTATATACAGGTTCGCCATTATTATTCAACGGTTTTCAAGTATTTTTTCATCAATAACACTCTAGAATGAAATGCAATCGTACTTTACAATGCCGTCATATTTCGCTGCGAAGGTGTACTAGATTGTACTAATACTTTGCCTCTAATCAAGAGGTCGTTTGAAGGGTTTCGCGTTGAAGCTCATGTCCCTACTCAGATATGAAATTGTAAGAAATCCTGTTTTGCGTGAGACCTCGGACACATGCCAATTGAACACCTGAAGTACTTGTTTATCATTATGCAAGCAAAATTCTAAATTTCATATACCCAATTTTCCAAGACTTGTCAAAACGGCATGACGAAATTGTCCTTTATAAATAAGCACACACACATACACACACACACACACACACACACACACACAAAATTCTGGAATTAGCGTCTTGCTAACCATCTCCCATCAATTTCAAAATTTTATTTCCTTGAAATGCTAGTTTGCGGTAGAAATAAGGAGCAATACTTTTGTTGAATAATTGAGTTAATATAAAACGTCGCCAAAGGATTCAATTTTCAACACGACATTAGCCTCTCCAAGAGATGGTATTAATAATTGTGTCCTATTCAGGCCACTTCATGCGTAGGTAATGCTTAGGCGATTCAACTTAAAACTACTCCATGAAGAAATATTTCACCAACCACTTGTGTAACTCACTTACCTCTCAAACGATTCTTCGTCGATTTAGATTGAGCTTAGTGGCTCTCAGTAGTGGCCGTGGCCCTAAGTAGCTGCGTAGGTGGCATTATCATTTACTGAACAACCTTGGTCTCAACATTAAAATTTCCTAATTCGCCTACTTTCACGTTTTCAATAGTATATAACGTTGTGTATTCAAATTTAATAGTTCGACTGCTTGACAATATGGGGATGAGTTCGCGCCAGGTACATTCAATGCTAACTGGGTAATTAGGAGGCCCATCATACCACTTCTACTCACACCTAAAGCTAACTTAAGCGATCACTTTTGCTTTCAACAAAATGCGCTCACTAGAGTTAACTCAAAGTTAGTTCTTTTCCAAGGAAAGGCTCCAACAATTTCACAATTCCTTATACTTCCAAGACTCATCGGCAACTTCGATTTTTATTTGTCAATATGCTGCAGCATGCAATACACTAATATTAATTTCGCCAGAAGTTTGCAAAGGCTTCAATTTTTTAACTTACTGCTCATACATTTGTGGCCTGCACGTCCGATATCCCAATTACCCCAGGTAGTGATGACGGAGGGGACGCAAACCAATTGGCTATTACATCACTTTCACTAACATCTTCTTCAAGTGCACCAAAGGGTCAATAAACTAATATAGTAGACGTACCTAGCAAATGTGCCATCTTTCTCCCATCCGAATAAGCTTACTACCCTGGCAATGTCGAATTAGATATGGATTCGCTATTCCATTGTGAAAATTTCCGTGTAGTCACTTGCAACTGGCAACATTTCGATTTGAACTTTTAAATAATGCCAAAAGAGAACCGCTTACCTATAGCAAAATAGCACGATTTATTGAGCAACACAATTATAGTAATAAGCATACCACTTGACTCTTGAGACAGATTTTGGAATTTACTTCAAGTTTTCGTAGAGACTGACATATACAACGTTGGCACCCCGAATGTAGAGGGCTGGATAGGACGTGAACTTGGGTTGCAAAGCTAGATCATATCCACGTACGTCACTCCTCTGAGTGGCTACTTCTTTTGAAGTCCCTGGCATGCGTTCTGGCCGGGTTACGGGATTAATTTTTTGATTCTGACTTCTTTGTGTAGCATGTACTATTGAACTTCTTCCAAGGGATGTAGGTTCTTCCGTCGGGTCAGGATTAACCTGCCCTGCCCCAATAGACACACGAGTCATCAATTCCACAAATTCCTCTTTGCTCACCGCAAACCCACTCGTCCCTTCTACAGCTCCAGCCATTCCAGTTTTTCTAAGCCGCCTTAGTCGCTTTCGACGATTGCGTCCAGGACCCTTGTTCTATAATTAATAAATGTCGATGCAACTAACTCAAACATTCCACGAGAACAACACCTACATTTCAAATAATTTTGGTCATATTTTTTTCAATAATTGAATCAATGAGAATAGTTAAACACTTTCGGTTGTTCTCTTTCATTCATGCCTGCATTCTCGACAAACTAGTGCAAAAATAATTAAAATCCTAATGGAACATTCATGAAAAACCCGTACCATTTATAAATAATCAAACCTAGTTGCCTAACCCCACCGCTTGTCACTCGCAGTCCCTAATTTAAGCAAACAATGAAAATGTCACGCCAGACAGGAGTTATTGCACCAACACCCTCTACTTATATAAAAGAGCCAGACTACGCAGAATTTATAAGTAATATCAGAGCCCAGCTCTTTGTATTTTCCTATCATTATGCAAGTGTCTCCAAGACTACGAGTCACAGCGTATATCAACTAATAACTCCCTGTAAAGAAAAAGACGGGCTACGCCATCAACCAATCTTTTGAAATCGGTAAATTAGGGTGTATTTGTCCTACTTCTAACACCACACCAAAGTAATACTACTTACTTGTGCAATGAAGAACTACGAAAAAAGGACAAGTATGAAGTTCTGCTTCTGGCAATCAATATTCACGCGTTTCAAATAGGCGAGTCAATAGTTGAACTCAAGCTGAACAATATACTTAACACGATTTAATCCAGAAAGAAAGCGTGGATTAGGCGAAAATGGTTGATTCCGAAATAAGGTGTGCAAATACTGCAATCCACTTTCATTTATTTAGTACATTTAATATGGCAAATGTCCCTTATACCAAATAATATCTTTGAAATATTTTAATTAATAAGCTAAATTCGATATTAAAAATCCGGAATACAATTTTACCAAATAGACGGGGAAGGATTTAGAAAGGGCACGATTAAATCAAAACTGGCTATTTCAAGCATCTCTTAGGAGGCGGTAAATTGTCCATAAAACATGAAGCCAGCACATTCATTTGATCATGAATAAAGAATAACAGTTCGGCCAATGTATGAATTGAATTTAGTTCAAACTCACACTTTTAAGACTGGGAATATCTGAAGGCGCATACTCATTTACATCAAACAAAACCTACAAAAACACAATAAAACTACGAGTTCATATTAGATAAACCAACAAAAAAACAATAAATCGAAGTAACCAACCAGATTCCAAAACCGGTCAAAGCCACCGAGTTTTCCAGTGAGAAGAGCTCGTATCTCACGCATTCCACGAGTCACCACAAGAACCTCTCTGCCTTCACGCATATACTGCATTAGCCTTTCCATGGGTCCTTTGACTTGGCCTGATCTAGGCAAGTGATCTTCCAAACCTAGACAAGACACACTACTCAATTCACTCAAGTAGCCGTTAACATTCAACTTAATATGGTGCACATTTGAAAATAATTTCAGGCCGTAAAGTTTAGAGCATCTATTTACAGTAATAATTCTTTAATTGGTTCTCTCTTGCTCCAAAAGTCGATTCACCTATCCTTTAAAATTTACCGTTGTTAAGAATTCCGATATCTAAAGACGGACCCATAAAATAAATTTGCCAGTCGTGAAAACGTACATATTTTTTTATATACTTTCATAAATGCTTCAAAGTTTTCAAAATTAAGATGTAACGAGTGCTGTCATTATAGTTGATTTCATATTGAGTAATGTATTCACATAACAACACAGAGAATGCAATAAAACAAGCATCTCTGGTAGAAATTAACAAAAGTGTTAGGTATTGTAAGACACGCTTTATATTCAATAAAGTTATTCACATACGTTCAAAATGTAAATACAAAGTGGATCTTTCGTCTTCGAACATGTAGAGAATCATATCAAACAATAAAACACAAATAAATGAACAAAATTTTGTCGTAATATGATTACAATAAATTTAGACAAGGAAGATAACTGAGGTTCCAAATATCTGCTTCCACAAAACTATGTAATTTTAAGAGCTTCATTTTTAATAAAATAGAGCTGAGTTTTTCAAGGTAAGTGATAAAATTCGCAAGGAATAGCACTCCTTGGCATTCGAATTAAACAGCAAAGCTAGTCTAGGATAAAGAAGTCAAAATGAGAGCATTATTACCCATTTTAAATTGAGAATAACTACTTGGAATGAGGAAATAGAGTAGGTGAATCTTTTCAAAATTCACTCCCAATTTACATTCAAAGGTGTCGTTTAACAATACCGACTCGGTTTCAATCGAGAATTAGAATGGAGCAAAAGAGAGCCTGCTGCTAGTGAGACGTCACACGCATGCAAAAAGCATGTAGTCAAATCAGATGACTGCCATGTATACTTCTTCTGAGATCAGATAGAAGATAAGTGGACTAGAAGTAAGTAAAAAATCAAGTGAAAATAATTACTACAGTTGGAACATTTGATCACAGAAAGATTTGGTCACAAGTAAATATAGCCCTACATGACCGATTAAATTGGTCTATTTTTATGTCCTTTAAATAATACTGGCACGAAAAAACTTATTACAATATGCAACTAATGATTCCAACTGCTGAAATGGGACTCCCCGAGTAGTAAGCAGACAACTGAAAGGCTGTGCCAAATGAGATATTTTGATACTGACTATAAGAGCTGATCTGACTAAAGAAGTGGGGCCATTCACCACACTTTTAACAGAATAAGTATAGACTCTCTTAACAGTAAGACGTGCTCTGCACTCTGCATTTACAGGAAGAGACGGCACAACAACATGCACCTACAGGAGAACACTACCGAAACCTTATCTCGTCCACTTCTTAAGCACAAAGGATTCATAAATATTCGATCGATTGCCATTTTGAAACTCTTCGTGACGATCTAGATACTCAAGCAGAGAGTTATCAGACAACCTTCAATATGAAATCATTTAGATTTGTCAATAGGACGACAACTGTTGAATAAAGTATATATTGAAATTAGAAGAGTGTACTTTCTTTTCCTAAATTTCACCAAACAATCCGTAAGGTCTCTATGCTCAACAATTGAAGCGACATTTTGTATGACAAATTTAAACGACGACACTGAATGTGATAAAAAAATTAGCAACACACGGGACTACACGGATCAGATGATGCTAACAATTGTAAAAATTACGCTTTCTTAATCCACATGCTTAACTCGAAAAATGAAACAGCTTGATGGTGTCGGCAGAAAAGAGGGAGACACCTTCTCCCATTTTGTTATTGAGCAAATGGGTTTAGATAACTTCATTTTTGTCTTTATGCACAACAAATTACTTAGCTTCGTAACCCGAAAGTATTACTTTCCTTAGAGGAAAAGTGATTTTAGAGCTGCCTTTTGGTCCATATGCAATAAGGAAAGTAGTTCATCGCAGAATTCGAGTTTCCCGCCAGTGAAGCAAAGTGAGTGTACAGACAATTTGCCTATCAACGATTCGATGGAGATTTCAGCATTAAATATTCCAGCATGTTGAAGATGCCAATACTCCAATAAGATTGATCCTCAACATATGCGGGACCAATTGAAATAGGCAATTATTTGATATACGCAATTTTAAACTTACTCTATGACTAAGGTCAAGATTCAAACTTGACCTCAAAAGACTAAGTCATGACGACAAAAAACGAGTCTATGGATCGACCCTAAATTTTGTTGCAAAAAGCGGATGAAACAGAGAGTGCGGAGATCTTAAAGGAAAAAGGGGCTCTAAAATCGAGGGCTTATAGAAGCTCCAAAGGTGAATCTCATTAAAACTGACAAGTACAAATATGAACAGGTGGTAGATAGAAAATCTCTTTGAGCTATAATCAGGCAGTATGAAAAAGCTAACACCAAAAAAATTAGTCAAGCATATATGATTTGTGCTTTCAAACGAAGTAGAACTGATTGAAGGAATTAACCTAAATCTTTCTGTTAATGAAACTTTGCACAAAAACGCCTTCAAAGCAGCTCCAAACGGACATAACTCCAAAGGTGCCTCGACCTTTGTTGATCTTGCGAATAAGCAATGAGCGCCATGGAAACATTTACCCTTCAAGAGGAAGACACTTAAATTTAATCAACTCCTTACGTAATGGCAGCATTGAAGGCCCAAAAACACCCTGATAGAGATACATCTTGCGATAAACTAACCTTATAGAACCGAAATACGCATTATTATAAAACAAGGATGTAGATAACCTGGAATCTAAGAAATATTTAACTATACAGCTGAAAAAAGGTAAGCTGCATAAACAAATTTTGAAGTTATAACTCAATTTTGACTAGCAAATAAGCATTTCGCGCACATTTACCCAAAGCAAAAGTAAATACAGATGCTTACCATTCCAAAAATCCAGGATTGTTTCCGTTTTTACCTTATAACTAATCTTGTGTAAGAAAGGCATCTAAAACCAAGAATTTTTTATCGATTATTTTTACAATATGCACAAATAGCGAACCAACTGATCAAATAAATAAGAGAGCATAGAATAATAGATTTATTTGCCATAGAAAGGTGGTTGATAGGGTACAGGACTATTAAATGGTTCAAAAAGGACTAAATAAAAGGCGCACTACTGAAATCTATTCATCCTCCACTTCTAAATCGCAAGTCCTATCTTTCCAACCAAAGCGCCAGCGCTCCAAGACCTTCGAACAGTCGAAAAGTGGTTTTTTAATTTTCTGATTGACAAGATTATGTTGCAGACAAAGCCAACCACTAAGGGCTTCACGACTGTGAACCTTTGGAGGGAATTTTTCCATATCTAGATAACAAAAATGGAAGATCAGAAAGTGTAGAAGGTAAATGATAAACAGGTTTAGCAAAGTTAGACCTACTTCTTTTAAAATCGTCAGCGCAATATTTACAAGGGAAAAACTTGGCGAAATCGTAGAAGAACCTCTCCATAGATTGCATCTCATCAATGGTGGGCTTTGATGGATAATATGCGGCTATAGTATGCAAGAGTGCCCAAGTTGCACGACCGAGGCTGGTCTTATCCAGTGGACATTCTTAATAAAATCAAAATATTATCAATTGAGCCATTTATTCTTAACACCTATTAAGGTTTAAAAATAAAATAAGGCATTTTCTATACCCTTTTTATCAAGGAAATACGGGGATTGCTTTTGAGAACTGGGTTTTAATTTTTTGTATGTTGATAAGTCAACACACGTTCTGCAAAAATATTTAGACTTCGGATCATACATATTCTTCTCTTCGTCTTCTCGAGTCATTTTGTCATTATTGGCATTTTTGGACATGGCCCAACGGCAACAACGAACCGAACCGGAGCGGCAATGTGTGATATAATGTGCTTTGAAAACTTGGGTTGTTTTGATTCCTTACTTCAGAATATTTTAAGACATAATTTTATTTGAAAATATAAATATAAATAACTGTTATTAACTGAAAAAAAATTATTTAAATCTTTTAAAAAATTATTATTTTGATAGAAAATATGTAGTTTCCTTACCAGAAACTAAATTTCGATATCTCGAACAAATGCTGTTTTTTGATATCAAAACTTACGAAATGCTAATCATAAAAGAAACTAAAACTTATCTTTACATAAAAACTCTCATCACTTTCAAATCCTACTTACAATTCTTATTACTATGCTTGACCATGCTAAAATACTTTTATTCAATAAATTAACTTGTGATGAACTGCCTTGTTCTGCCTAAAATGAGCAACAGATTTCGCTTCAAATGAAGTAAAGCAATGGAATTTTTATTGCTCATAAGTGTTTTCCTTAAATGTCATCCGATTTTATTGGATGATACCAATATTGGCCAAATAAGAAAATGTTAAGATAGATACTTGAAAGAACTAATATGCGATAGACTTACCTCCATGTGGCGTACCCTGAGCAACGTATACTCATATCACAGAAAATTCTATGATCCAGCAGTTGATTTCTGGCTATAAACTGCAATGGCCCGATAGTATGTCATATTCGACCCCCTCCACAAAACTCATCTTACCTTTTCTCGGCTTTTGTGTCTGTCTGTCTGTCTGTCTGTCTCTTTTACACCTGTGAATCATAAATCTGTTCCTCCTTCTGTGAGGGCCGAAGTAAACTAAATGGCTAATGATAACTATCAAAATATCTGCCATTTGAATTTAAAATAATAATAATACTTGAAAAAATTTTTCTACAGTGTATAAGACCCGATTTGGACGCTTTTTATAGATTACAAGTATCAATTAAATTTTTTAGGTTACGATATACTCGACTTGTACCTTCACTGCGTACACGGACTATCATTATTAACAGAAAATATTGTTTTGTGCTGTAATCGTTCAGTAAAGAAATGCAAAAGTGCATCAAGAAGGCTGGATTTATACGATAATACGACGCTATCATTGGAATAGACAAAAATCAATTTTACGAATAATAATAATCAATGGTAATTTAAGGATAAGTATGACAGTTAGAAGCCACTATCAATTGGATTGGGATCTTTATTGAAAAAATTCATTTTCACTTTTTTTAAAGAGTTTATTCAATCATCTTGATTATTTCATTTTAAAATTTGTTTAGTATTCCAAAGAAATTTAAAGTTTTATAAAGATCTTAAATTAAAACACAATGAACAACTTATTTAGTAGTTTAATACCTAGGTTTTAGAATAAATAGTTGCTTACTTTAGATAGCATTTGACTCAAACTTTGTTTTAATGATTTCCAAAGCGACCGGGTTAGTCAAAGAGCTCCAGAGCAATGTAAGTCTTTTGGAGTTATTTTATCTCAAATTGCGGTAGTTATCTTGTAAGCGTATTTATGTTAGTGATTTTATTTGATTACCGTTTGGGTCTTTGAATCAAAATAAATAGAAGCAACTATGGATCAAACTGCTCGTGATGATGTTGTTCTCACTCTCACCGAGGTCGATAATTCTTCTATCCGACAACTTGTACGTCGACGTCGTCTTGCTTTGCTTTGCCACTTCGGTGCACGTTCAATAGCCCTCATCTTTTATCTTTTCGTCTCTTGGTTTACGAACGCCTTTATTGCACCTGTTGTTATTCTTCTCACCCTATTTGCAGCTGATTTCTGGCTTGTTAAAAATATATCTGGTCGCCTTTTGGTTGGACTTCGGTGGTGGAATTCAAATGATCATCAAACCGGCGAATCGATATGGGTCTTTGAATCCGCTTCCACCGCACTCGATGCTAATGATGGTCCAATTAGCAATCGAGAGCGTTCTTCGCGGAAATCGGCGGGTCGTCTTTTCTGGATTGGTCTTTTAACATTTCCTTTGATATGGGCACTTTTGATTTTAGTGGCTATTTTCTCTCTTAAACTTGCTTGGTGCCTTGTAGCTGTCTGTGGTTTCTTAGCCTGTTCCGTGAATGCCTACGGGTACCTCCGGTGTCGCTTCAAAGGAACCCCTGTCGGTGATGACTCAACAAAGAACGGTCTTAGAGGGCTTTTGACCGCCACAGTGGCTAAGTCAGTGTTTTCGGACCTCTGGTCTGGTGGTGAAAACACATTAAATCACCAACAGTCTGTCCCAGAACATCCGAAAAGTTTGATATGAGAAAAATTGTGAGGGTGATACAGATTTTGTCTATTGATTTTCTTTGCTCGAGACTTCTGTGGACTGGGTTAAATTGCATTCAGTCCATTCGCGATTTATGATGTGTAAAATGCACTTTTTTGGGACATTGTGTTTATTTATCCTTTTCTATAGAGTATTAAAAATATGTTATTGAATTAGTGATATTAACTTTTTACATTTTTAATTGGAGTGCTTTGATTAGCATTTACACTTATATAGTTTGTACAAATTATCTCTTCTTTAAATTTAGGTTATTTATATTTTAACATAAATGTTGTTTTACCTTTTATTTTACATGAATTATTTGTGTGTAGATGGACTAATGGTTTGTTAATAGATATTTTCGAACAACAAGTCAAATTTTCACTATTTCTGCTTTGGATTCCTGAACATTATCGTATACTCAACAGCGAAAATTGTTAACACGTATTTAGCATACATGAGGTAACCTAAAAGCCCTAATTGAAGATCAGTCAAATTAGGAGCGATCATTTTCATTCATACCGCTGTTTACGTATAGCCATAGATTGTTACTCCACTAACAACGCAAGTAGCGATGTTCAAGATAACCGTTAATGCAATTGATTTGAAGTATGTCAGACCAGTTTGTTTGGCTTTTTTTGTCTTTGTGGTATACTAGTTTTTATCTAGTTTCTTCCGATGCTTGTGAATTTGTTCTACTTTCGTGGCTCCTAAGCTGTAACTCGTTAGCTTGCCCGAACAGAATAAAAAACAAAAAGGTCTGTATTAGCTGAATTAATAATTTGATGGTGGTTATTTTTCTACTTGATGCAATTCAAAAGTAGATGCGATGTCAAGGGTATCGCCTTATTCAAATTGTGGAAACATTAAAATGCCCAATTTCTTATTTGGCGCATAATTCACGTGGGAATACCCGACGTTTCAAAGGGCCAGTATTCATGACTATAGCATTTAGAGTTTGTTGCTTACTTGCTTACATTGAGTCGGTGGCCTTGTCACTGTTTCCTTTTTACCTTCTTTGAGTCATGATCGGGCACTTGAGAGTATCAGTCAGTGGTGGTACCACCTCCCTCACATCACAACTGTCCTTTGCTTCTGAGCCAAATCGATGCATTCGTTTATATTAATTTATTCACATTCCTGTGTTTAAATGTCGATTCAATCCATTCAACACATGAACCGTTACTTTTTAATATTATTTACTTATATCAAATGGCAGGCGTTTTGATAGTTATCATTAGCCCTGGAGCTGACTTCGGGGCTTCATGAAGAGGAGAAGGGACATCAAAGTGACACAAAGTCGAGATGGGAGACAGAATAATGATTCACAGAGGTAAAAGAGACAGACAGACAGACACAAAGGCATAAAAAAGGTAAGATGAGTGCTTTGGAAGGGGTCGAATATAAAAAATAGTGGAGCCATAGAAATTTGAAGTCAGAAGTCAACTGCCGATCAATAGATTTTTTTGCCGTGTAAGTACACGTTGCCCAGGGTGCACCACGTGGAGGTAAGTCTTTTTAATATTAAAGCAAAAGAATTTTGTTATCCGACATTATTTTTGACTGACCATAGGGCTGCACTCATAATAAATTTTTCAGTTCTTATCACTGTTTGAATTTCAAATTAATAGCCAATTGCAAGCGATACTGGTTAACAAGAATTTCAAGGTGTTTGGTAATGGAATTATTCCAAAAATTGTGCTTCAGAGCGTAATCACTGCTACCTATTAAATGTCAGTAGAATCATTCGAGAGGTAATTATTCTAAGATAGCTTAGATTTAATTGCAGCTTTTATTCTCTAACTGTAAATGCGTTTGCGAGAACCGCTTTTGATCAGGAGTGGCTTTGTTATAATTTCTAATTACCAGGACATAATTAAACAACCACTATTTTATCTAACTTAAAGAGTTACATGTTAAATTAAGTCTTTTTATTCCACTTATTTCATTAAGTTAGATGATTATTAAGTTTTTTTTCAATCCCATATGCAATCTCGACACTAATTTATGTAATACTATGCTATCTTTCACATCACTTCCATTAATTCGAAAGTGCTTGCGTGTTGTGGACATTCCATTCCATCTGGGACAGTGCCTTGAGCCCAAATAGTTATTTTGTAACTCAATGTTCATCTCACCAATTTTTTCAGTGACTTTCTCCAACTAAGTCGGAATCTTAACTTCTCTCTTAGCCTTGTCATTTAATGTGTTGATTGTTTGACACTTCATTCCACTAAGTGCACTTTCATAAACGAGCGAGTTCCTTCTGTAATGGCGTTCTTGTTTGTTGTGAAATATTGCGTAATTATTATAGCAGGGCCGTCTATTTTCTAATCTAACTGGCCGTTGCATGGATATAACGCTTGGAAAGGGTCGAGTTTTTGCCTCATGGAAGGGGATAATAACTTAAATTAAAACTCAAATTGAAAGAATGGGGCATGGTTTGTTGCTCATTGTCTCTCAAATGGTCCTTCTAAGAGATTTGTACTGAAGCGCTTTCTTTTCTGCCAAACATTTCCGCGTTCATTTCTCAGTGGAGTTTACGCTCCATCTATTTTGGCTATGACAGCTAGATCAAACCAAAAATTTCCATAATGTCTTGGTTTCTTTATGCTAGCTTTCATTCCAGTTATTATTGTTTCCTTTCGACTCAAGCCATGATGACTTTCACAACATATCAATGATGAGGTTTTTTTAGAATTTAGTTAAAACCGGGGATTTCCCGGTTTCTTGAAATTTCCCTTTTAATCGAGAACGCTGTACATTTGGAATTAACGAAGATTAATAGATAGGTTGGGGACACTTCCCGACCTCTTTAGTTGCGGAATAATTGTTAAAATAAGTTAATATTATCAGCTATCGGTTATTGGTTTATTCCAAAGCATATTTAATTTCACAATCCAAAACTTGTTGGGAGATGTGATAAAATCGGTATGCCAATTTTAAATTTTGGTGCATAAAAATGTGCCAATAGATTGGGGATTTGTAAGTGCGTTTGTTATTAAATTTCCTTGCGTGATTTATGGAATTCTGGCGTCTGCCCACTTCCATGCGCCAATGTACACGCGTAGTGCATTCAACCAATCAGTGGGCAGTTTATCGAATTTGTATTCGAGATTTCACAAGGGCGAATGTCTATACTTCCTAGTCGGTTTTTTGTGCCTTGCATATGCCCGACCAATTCAATCTCAAAATTCCATTCCTGGAATTCGAGAGGAAGGTTATTGTTCCCTTTTCACTTTCCTCAATTTCTCATTTTTTAAAAAGAATTATAATTGGCTGTCCCAATCGATTACCTTTTTTGTTGGATATACGTTTTACCATTTGCTGGCAAGAATCACTATTTGTTTTCAATACGCACTTAACTCCATTTTTGCTTATAGCATTTTCCTCTATCAGAGAGTGAATACCTTGTTTTCTAATTTGTTTTGATTACTAAGTTGGTGTTATTTGAATGCAAAAATAAGCTCCATTTAAATTCGATTGTATCGTACAACACGATGCTGATTTTATAAAAGCGGTTGGCATCGAGATGTAGTTTAATGATTATGCTCTCAAGCTTCCATTCCTAGTGTCCTTCTCAGTCAATTAGAGTTTACCTGGAATATTAGCCTGGATGTGTTTTTAATCGATATTGGCAGACTTTTCACTGGAACACTTCATTTCGCTTCCTCTCTAAAACCAAAATTTAAAAATTCGAAATAATGTCTCTTTAGTTTTGCGGAATAACTGGTCTTACCATTCGTTGGCGCTTCCATAACAGAGGTCATGCAATCCATCGATTCAACTCGTGAAATCACAATTTTGCTTTTGAGATTGGGTGGCTTACCTGATTAGTCACTAAAGTTATAGCATAACAGTATTATTATTTATTCATCTATTTTTATTGTCGATCAATGTATTCGAGTATGTGCTTGCTCGTTGTGAGGTTACCTTTGTTGTTCCGTATGATACTCGAATGCATCCACGTAGTAGCTGTGATTAGTTTACTTTCCTATTAGCTGCACATCATTTTTCCATTTCCTTATCATTAAGAACTGCGACGGATACTCGAGATTTATAGAGCGAGAGAGAGAGAGTACCTTTAATAATTCAGGACATTTTTGTGGTTACTTAGTTTGCAATTCATTCTTTATGTTGGAACTGTAGTATTACTAAATGACGTTAAGCACTTAAGGATTGAATGACAATTGCTGCCTTCAGGGGCATAAGTTAAAACCACAATAATATGAAGAACGTTGATGCCCGGATGAGGAATTTTGTTATGAAAATTAATTGTATCCGATGGAATTAGAGTCCACCACGAATGAATTCTAAAGGGCTTTGCTATTTTAATATCATGTGATTCCGATGTATGCCAACCAACGACTCTGCACTCCCCCCCCCCTCTAGCAGGATTTTGTGCATTTCTTCTACAATCAAATAAAGTCCACTTTCTTCAACTTCTACCCACTCGTCATAAAAACTAGGCTTAAACGGAACGCTCACAGAAGTCCCAATTAACCTTTCTCTTCACATCACTAAATAGTGCATTTAATATTCCATCTCCTTGTTGCATTTTAATACTGAATGATCAAGGCAAATGCATTTTTGTCTGATGCACCTTAGTTGTATCTGCACGAAAGCTTGCCAAATCATTAATTGGCCAACAATTCACTTCCTACAACACAGTGCTAATGTGTCCATTTACGCTTCTATGATGCGCCTAGATCTCGGCTTACTTCGACCCCCCTACCCACATAGCGAATTTTGAATTTGGTCTTAGTGGGAACATTAGTTTAATAGTCGATATGGTAATCTGGAGGAGCTGAACACAAAAACAATGGGATTTTTTAGACACATCGCCCCTCACATTTTTCTATGTGCATTGTTCTCAGACTAACAATGCAAACGGAAATTGTTGAAATACATAACAAATGATCATCTGCCCCCTGGGTAGTTTATGTTATTTGCTTCGCTATATAGGCTTAAGTATGGTATTTGAAAGTAATAATCCA